CCTCCCTTTCCCTGTCTCTCATTTAACCCTTCCCCTCCCTTCCCTTCCCCTTTCCTTCCCTTCTTTTTTATTTATTTATTTATTTTTTAAGAAGAAGGAATATTTATTGAAGGAGAGACAGCTCCTGCCAGAGAGAGACAGGAGGGAACTCCTGGAAAATAGGTTGCACCCTTCCCTTTTTTCTTGTACAGGGAATTGAACCCAAGGCCTTTACACTGAGCTACAGTCCCAGCTCTATTTGAGATAGGTTCTCACCAACTTGCTAATTTGCCACAAGATGCCTCAGCCTTTTACAGTGCTGGCATCACTCACATGCTTGTACCACTATGTCCAGCTTCGTTTAAGAATTCTTGACCATTATAAACAGTAATCAAACATAGATATTAGCATGTGAGCCGTAACTGATCATGTGGGGTAGCAGAGTTACCCACTCAACAGTGCACCCCAAGTGTCATTCGGGCAGTGCATTTGTTTACATACTGACTGTCCTGAGCATCGCTCAGGCAGGTGTCATTTCAACCAATTGATTCCTGTATTGAATAAATTTGATAAAATTGTCACTTTTAGATTTTCTGTTACATTATAAAAATTAATGAAAAAATATGCAATTTTTGGTCATCCTGTACTTAAATTATTGGACCGGTAAGTGGGTAAGAGTTCATCCACCCAACCATGCCTCCTTCCTGCTGGGCCTCGTCCACAGACATGGCAGATTCAGAAAGACTGTTTTCCTGTCCCTCGAACCAGTGTCCCTGACACATGCTGCCTCTCTTGTTGCCTTTGTCAATCTGCACCATGTCGTTTGCTCCCTGTCTTGTTAGGCAGAATGTACTGAATACAGATCTGACTTTTCTTAATGCTTTTGGAGTGCCTCTGCCTCCTCCAGTTCCTATTACTTAATTTGCCATTACTAAATTTATCATTGCTAAGAAAAACAGATGACCAATTTAGTGTTATTTAAAATTTGAAGGCTTTAATAGTGAGGGGAAAGTACTTCATGAGTTTAGTGACAAATTTTTGTTCTGAGTTCTTCAGAGCCTTTTTTCTTATAGATTTAAATATGTGGAGATCGATCTCTTTTTCTCTCGGTCTATTTTAACTTTTTTCCAGTACTGGGGTGACTTAGTTACTTTTCTCATTGCTGAGACAAAATACCCAGACCCAAAGTTAAAGGAGGAAAGGTTTATTGTAGCTCACAGTTTGTAGCAGTTTCAGTCCATAGTTGGCTGGCTCCAAGTCAGAGTGGTGTGACAGAGGGGCATGGCAGAGCAGGCAGGAGGCAGAAGGCAGCAATGGATAATAGCAGCCCTCTTTCAGCTCCTTATATTCTTTTTTTTGGTACTGGGGATCAAACTCGGGATCTTGTGGTTGCGAGGCAGGCAGCGGCACCACTGAGCTAAATACCTGGCCCCTCTGTTCCTTATATTCTGTCCAAACTACACATCCTTAGGGCAGATAGCACTCACACCCAGGGTGAGCCTTCCCATTATTCACTCCCAGAACTAGGCCAAACCAATCAGTGGGCTAATTTCTTAATCACATGGCCTTGATCCCAGGGTCACATACTCTAGATCCAGTCACATCTCTAAGGCCTTAGGGGGACATCTAGACAAGCCATAACATGGGGCTTGAACCCAGGGCTTCACACATGTTAAGCAAGTGCTGTACCACTGAGCTACAACCTAGCCTCTACATATTTTTTACCTGTAACAACTTCAGTATATTTTCTGACTAATGAATAAAGTCACCTTTTATTTGTCTGTTTCTTTTATTTTAAATTTCAAAATACTGCTCTTTCCTATGGTATTTTGAGACTTGATGAACAAACCTATCTTTAGTTATGCTTTCCTCTTTCCCTAAATCTTCATCTCTTGCAAATGAAATAAAGTTACAACTTCAAGCTCTATTGTTTTCCAAAGGAGTCCTCACCTTATATGCAGACTATGGCCACTTCTGAGTGGTACACTTTTTGCTTTCCTCACAGCCTTTTTTTGGAGACAGGGTCTCGCTGTGTAGTTCAGCCTGGCCTTGAACTCACTGTGTATTCCAGGATGGCCTCAAACTTGAGATGATCCTCCTGCCTCAGCCTCCTGAGTGCCGGGATTACAGGCATGCATCACCACATCCAGCCTTTGCAACTTTCTTAAGACCAATGTCTCTTAGTTGTTTTCTTTCAAGCCAGGACAGTCTGGTGTTCGTGATATTCCTCAGTTGTGCTAGGTTTTCTGTCCATGTGGATAACAGTGTCTTGAATGTCCTTCCTTAGGCAAAGCCCCTCTCATCTCCTTTAAGATCTTTGCTTCTGTCCTGTGAGTAGGGTGGACCTTCCAGCAGAGAGGAAGAGGACTTGGAAGCAGGGTTTAGAATAGAGTCATTCAGGTCTTTATTAATATTTCTGAGCGTATGGATGCACAGCCCCTGCCCGTCTTGGGGAATTGTCTTCGTAGGATGTCTAAAAAGACCCTGGGGTCAAGGTTGAGTAAATTTTAGTGACATGTCAATTGGCAGCTGGGCTGAACCCTCAGAAAGTTATGTAGCTCTTGGGCCGAGGATTTAGCTCAGTGGTTCCGTCGCCTGCCTCAAAAGCACAAGGTCCCACTTTGGATCCCCTGTACCAAAAAAAGAAAGTTATGTAGCTCTGAAAGAGCCAAAAGCCCCAAATTCTGACAAATGGTGGCAAAAATTAGCATAATTTTTTTTTTTTTGAGATAGTGTCTTTGTAGTTCAGGCTGGCCTTGAACTCACTATGTAGTCCAAGCTGCCCTTGAACTCAATGATGATCCTCCTGTCTCAGCCTCCCAAGTGCTGGGATTACAGGCATGCACCACCATGCCCAGTTTAAAAGTTTCGGGGCTGGGGATTTAGCTCAGTGGTTCCGCTGCCTGCCTTGCAAGTGCAAGGACCGGAGTTCGATCCCCGGTACAAAGAAAAAGTTTTTTAAAAATGTGATCAAATCAATAAGCCAAAAATGGTTTCTATGTACTGGATTTATTTATTTATTTTTTGGTTGTTTTTTAAGACAGGGTCTTGCTATGTAGTTCAGATTGGCCTTGAACTCACTGTGTTGGCCAGGATGGCCTCAAACTTGAGGTGGTCCTCCTGCTTCAGCCTCCCAAGTGCTGGGATTATAGGCATGCACCACCATACCTGCCTTTCATTATTAATATTTTATATTTCTCTAATATTTTGCTACTTATAAAATATATTGATCATGTCTTTGTGTTTCTTCTTTGGACTGCCTGCTTATTACCTTAGCTCACCTTGCTTGTCTTTTACTTATTGCTCTGTGAGCTCTTTTTATGTATATTAATGATAGAAATTCTGTGTTGCAGATATTCTTTTTACTTTATTGCGTACATGAGAAGAACTTTTTATTGGTTGTCCTTTCCTTTACACCTGCTTCTTTCACTTTTATAACATGATAGTTTCATTCATTTCTGTTTTCTACTTAGGTTTGCTGAGTCCCCTGGTCATGGTTAATTGATTGCTCTTGGTTTTGGTTTCCCTTACCTGGGCTGAATAGAAAACAGGTTGTGAACTTTGGTTTAAAAAATTTTTTTTTCAATTGGTATATGTTTGTGATATAATTACATTCGTTTTGGGAAATTTATATATGTATCAAATCGATTATTTTTGATATCCCCTTCCCATCTCCAAGAAGTCTATAAGGCTTCAGTTTTGTTACTGAAAACCCTGAGGGAAGTTTTTCCTGCTACTTATCTGAGCTGCCACACCATTGCTCACTCTGCTTTTCTAGCTTAAGATATTTAATTTACCTGTTTTCAGCCAGCCCGGAAGCTGTCTCTGTGAGGAGAATGCTGTTTTCTTCTAATGGGGTAATCTCTCTCCATGCCGGGCTCCCAGCCCATCTGTCACAACCTGTCCCTCCTGCTTTTCCTGCTCCTTAAAAGGACCAAGCTATTCTACACTTCTTCAGTGTTTTTCCCTCCTAGGCATTTGGAAGAAAGGAAAGAGGAGGAGGAAAGGAAAAGCAGGAAGAGAGGACAGGGGATAAGTTCATAAAGTGAATGTCTCGTGGCATGTCCTTGTGGTCATGATCGCCTGTGTGCTGGTTCACTTGGCAGTGGGCTGCCCTGCTGTCACTGGTATCTGTGTGTTCCGTTTTCATGGCTCTCACACTTCTAGTCCAGGAGACAATTATTTGTTCTGTTCAGAATCTCATCTCCATGAGATATTCTGCCAGTCTGTTTGGGTAATGAGGACCCTCCTGGGGGAGGGGCATGTTTTCCTTTTCTGTGAGACCTCCTAAACCAGCACATGTGTTTTGTTGAGGGCTTAGGAGGGCCAGGAAACCAGACCTGCAGACCCACTGATCCCACAGGATGTAAGAATATACCTCTGCCATGCCACCTGCTCTCGTGGTTCTGAGTGATTTTCTATTTTCCCTTATAAAAACTATAAAAGCAATCTCTTAGCTTTCCCCCAAAAAGTTTTGAAAAATAATCTAGCAGTAAAAGTTTTTTCTTTTAATTGTAGATCAAATGAATACTTAGTTTTGCATTATCAGACTGACAATATTTTTCTATTAATCTTTTTAAACTTAATATTATAAGTAATGTTCTATGTTGCTGTATCAATTTCAGAATTAGAAATTTTTTTTGGCTGCAATAGTCCATCAAGTATGTAACCATCCCCGTTCTCTTGAACATTTAGATTTTGTGTGTGTGTGTGTGTGTGTGTGTCTTTCCTCTATGCTTTTTTCTTTAAGATAGGTTCTTGCTATGTTACCCCCAAATGATCCTACCAACTGGGCATTTTTGGCACCCACCTTTTTTTTTTTTTTTTTTTGAGGTAGGGTCTTGCTATTAGTTCAGTCTGGGCTTGAACTCACTATATAGCGCAGGCTGGCCTCAAACTCACAGTGATCCTCCTACTTCAGCCTCTTCAGAGTGCTGGGATTACAGGTGTGTCCCACCACCCCTGGCTTGGCACACACCTTTAATGCCATGGTGGCATATACTCTCAGAAGCTGAGGCAGGAAAGTTGTAAGTTGGACCCAGCCACTGGGTAATTTAGCAACTTAGACTGTCTCAAAATTAAAAATATATAAATAAATAGGGTTGGGGATGTAGCTCAGTGTAAAGGTCCTGGATTCAAAGTACCATCCCAACCCTCACAAAAAAGTGATCCTCCCTTTTCAGCTTCCCAAGTGCTGAGACTACAGGCAGGCACCACTGTGTCTGGGTTCTTTGTGCTGTTTTAATGCTTAAGCATTGTAACTTTGCATATGGCTTTTGGAAATTTTTGTTCTTAGGATAAATTTCTGGAAGTGGGCTTTCTGTATTCCAGAGTTTGCCACTTATCTGGCACTGTGGAGCAATTACACTTCTAAGAGTTGTGCCAATTTGCTTCTGGAAAGATTTCCAGCGTCAATGTGGTGTAAGAAATGTGTAAGCCAGAAAGGGCCTGAGATGGTGAAGGAGATACAGGATTTAAGGGCTGAACAAGGAGTGGAGATGGCAGAGTTGCTCTTTCTTCCTCCCTCAGGCTTGAGCCAGCCGGTTTCAAGCTCCATGAGTATTTGAGTGAGGTAACTTTAGGGAGGGCTTTTCCCAGAGCCTGGCTCTCTTCGGCTGCATAGTTCTGTAGCTTTGCTGGATCATGTAGGAAGCAGGGGCATTAAGTTAAAGTAGTTTTGTTGTTCTAGTTTTTGTGTATTATGTTAAAGTGGAATTTAGGCTCCTCCCAAACTGTCACCTGGCCAATTTGATAACTGTGTGGTCCCTTGAGGATCACCCTGCTCCTTGGGTTTATTCACCAACCAGTAACAACTTTAGGGTAAAAAGTCAAGGAATCAAGTGTGTTTTCTGAATGGAGAAAAAAATTGCTAGGTAGGAGATGATGTAGTCAGGTGTCATGTATGAATCAGAGGTTTTCTAAAGGAGGGAACCATTGAACAATGCTTGAAAAGAGTAGGGTCAGGTGTGGTGGCATACTTGTAATTCCAGCACTTGGGAGGCTGAGGCAGGAGGATTGCTGTAAGTTGGAGGGTAGCCTGAACTGCATAGCAAGACCCTCCTAAAAAAACCAAAAAAAGAAAAGAAAAAGAAAATAGGGTGGGGCTATGGGACTGGCTGTTTGCTAGGCACAGTTCACCACAGAGGGTGCTGCCCCCTGGATATTGGACCGTGTGAGATGGGTGTCCCCTGTCTCATGGCTGTACAGCCAGCAGGGACTTCTGGGTATTGAGGTCCATGCCCCACCAGGCAGGGTTGCCACTACATGTGAGTTTCTCTTTCCACCTCTTCCCCTGCCTTCCAGCATTTTAGGGTAAGATTCAGCATGTGACTTCCTGTCATAGAATGCGGGATTCTGCATGGGTGTGCCACCTGTGCATGTGCAACAGCTATGTATGTGAAAATGATGTCGGACAGAGTCCAGTGTGGTCACTGACCGTGTCTTGTTTCTGTTACAGCCCTTGGTGAGCCTCCAGCCATGGGGGATATGAAAACCCCTGATTTTGATGATCTTCTTGCTGCCTTCGACATCCCAGACCCCACAAGCCTTGATGCCAAGGAGGCCATCCAGACTCCCAGTGAGGAGAATGAGAGTCCCCTCAAGCCCTCAGGCATGTGTCTGGATGAGAGCGTGCCCCTGTCTCACTCAGGATCTGCCCCGGATGTGCCGGCTGTGAGTGTCATTGTCAAGAACACCAGCCGCCAAGAGTCCTTTGAGGCGGAGAAAGACCATGTCACCCCTAGCCTCCTGCACAATGGCTTCCGGGGTCCAGATCTGCCTCCAGAATCGCCCAACTGTGGAAAGTTTGACTCCACTTTCTTAAATGGAGACAGTGCCAGGAGTTTCTCTGGAAAGCTGGAACCTCCCAAGTCTGAGCCATTACCCACCTTCAACCAGTTCAGCCCGATCTCTAGCCCAGAGCCTGAGGATTCCATCAAAGATAATGGGTTTAGAATAAAGCCCAAGCACTCGGACAGTTATTTTCCACCCCCTCCTGGGTGTGGGACCGCGGCGGGCCCAGTCCTGGAGGTACTGACCAAGTTTCCAGTCCCGGAACTGCACATGTTTGATCACTTTTGTAAGAAAGAACCCAAGCCCGAGCCCTTACCCTTGGAGAGTCAGGAGGAGTGCTCTCAGGGTGAGCAGAAGGTAGTGGAGCCCCACAGAGAGCTGGATTCCAGTCAATTCTTTGGGGAAGCTTTGGAGTTCGACAGCCACCCTGGCCACAGTGTCAGTGAGCCCAAGAAGCCCATTCCGCAGCTGGGAGCCTGCTCATCTGTGCCCCCCAGGCAGCGCCTCAAGCCTGCTCATTCCAGGCTGTCATCCTGTGTTGCAGCCTTAGTGGCCTTACAGGCCAAAAGGGTGGCTAGTGTCACCAAGGAGGATCAATCTGGCCACACAAAGGATCCCTCGGGGGCCACCAAAGAGGGTTCCAAAGGTAGCCCCAAAATGCCCAAGTCACCAAAGAGTCCCCGGAGCCCTCTGGAGGCTACTCGGAAAAGCATAAAGCCATCGGACAGCCCACGGAGCATCTGCAGTGACGGCAGCAGCAGAGGCTCTCCGTCTGTGGCTGCCAGCTCCCCGCCAGCCATCCCCAAAGTCAGAATCAAAACCATCAAGACATCGTCAGGGGAAATCAAACGGACTGTTACCAGGATCCTGCCAGACCCTGATGATCTAAGTAAGTCCCCTGTGGAGTCACCTGTAGGGAGTGCCATTGCTGAGGCCACAGGCGAGGTGCCAGGGGAAGAGGGCACAGCCCTGCCTGTGGAGGGGCACCTTTCTGAGGCAGGCACAAATTCAGGGAGCCCCCAGGGTGACAGGAAAGGGGACGAGAATGTGACAAAGGCTGGTGACTCTTCATCTCCCTGCGAGAGCTCTGCACCCCTGGTCCCCAAGGGGGTGGCCCAGAGCTCGAAGATGGGCAAGAAGCAACAGAGCATGGCTGCACAGGCCTTGGCCCCTACCAGTCTCCTGCCCAAAGCCGTGCACCTGGCCAACCTCAACCTGGTCCCCCACAGCGTCGCTGCATCTGTGACGGCCAAATCCTCTGCACAGAGACAGAGCCAGCCCCAGCTCACACAGATGTCAGTGCCCCTGGTGCACCAGGTGAAGAAGGCCGCCCCCCTGATTGTGGAAGTCTTCAACAAGGTCCTGCACAGCTCTAACCCCGTGCCCCTCTATGCACCGAATCTCAGCCCTCCTGCAGACAGCAGGATCCATGTGCCGGCCAGTGGGTACTGCTGCTTGGAGTGCGGGGACGCATTTGCCTTAGAGAAGAGTCTGAGCCAGCACTACAGCCGGCGCAGTGTCCACATCGAGGTGCTGTGCACTCTCTGCTCACAGACACTGCTCTTCTTCAATAAGTGCAGCCTGCTCCGGCATGCCCGAGACCATAAGAGCAAGGGGCTTGTCATGCAGTGCTCTCAGCTGCTTGTGAAGCCCATTGCTGCTGACCAGATGTTCGTGTCGGCGCCAGCCAGCACCCCGGCCCTGGCGGCCCTGGCCCCCTCCTCATCTCCCAAACATGGTGCCCCCTCAGGCAACAGCAGCTCCCCGCCTCCAGCTTTTCCACTCTACCCAGACCCCGTGAGGCTCATCCGGTACGGAACCAAATGTCCTGAATGTCACAAGCAGATGCAGGACTACATGGTCCTGGCTGCACATTTCCAGAGGACATCGGAGGAAACCGAGGGGCTGGTAAGCAGACCTTTGCTGCAAGGGGTTCCATGTTGGGAGCAGGGGAGCGCTCCCAGATGTGTGAGCAGTGGAGGGTTGTAGCCTCCCACAAGAGGACACTGGCTCACCTGGACATACCTGGTGTTTACTGGGGGACGAGTCTGGCCCTTAACTGAGGGGAGACCCTGAAATTTTGGTGAGTGGCTTGTAAATGCGCCTCTTGGTTCACTTCACCCCCAATCCTGGGGCTGCCAGGCCTGTTGTCAGGCCTGGTCTTTGGGAGGTGTCAGCACAGTCCTGGCTTGTCCCCAAAGAACCTGGGACCCAGGTGGGTGAGTCACTGTCCCTGTGCCTCACTGTTCATTTAAGGAGTGTGTCTTTAGTAAGTTGTTGTTCTGCGCTGCCATGGCCACACTATTTTGCAAAGTCCCGTTGGGGACACTTTAGGAGGGCCAGCAACAGGGCTGAAGTGGGAGGAAGAAGGGCAGGTAGAGGATGAGTCTGTCCTGTGGCCTCTTCCTTCTATCCAGGTTCTCACCATGGCTTGTTCCAATTCTTGGTTATGCTTGGTGAGATCTTTGTTTTAAGAGGCATTCTGCATTGGTGCCTGTCTGTGTTAACAGGTCCCATTGAAGAGGTGGCCTCTCAACATGCTCCCTCTGTCCTCTGTAGCCAGGGCACTAGGACCTGGGAGGGGAGCGGTTCAGCTATTACCTTAGCTCACCCAAGGCTGTGCTGATGTTGGTGGCCAATGCGCTCTGCACTCATTTCCCCAGTGCCTGCTGTGCCCTGGGCTTTGGGCTGCTTGAGGGATGCCACCTTCCTTTGGGAGCACCCAGCAGCTCAGTAAGGGCAGCTGTCACCACCGAACAGCTACAGTGTGGGACAGTCTAAGACTGGGACTAAAACAGATTGCAAACCTAGATGCACAAAGTGCCTCAGAGGCACTAATTCATGGTGACTGCAGGTGTAGGGACAGTGGCACAGAGAGATGACATTTCAGCTGGACCTGTGAAGTTGAGTTTGGAGGAGGGTGTGCAGGCACGGGGAACAAAGTTCTGAGCTCAGGCAGAGTGGGACGATGAGTGCAGAGTAAAGTTGCAGGAGAGTGTTGGGTGGAAGCAGCTCTAGCCTGGTAGATCTCTGGGTTTCTTGGAGTCCAGGATGCCACAGGATCACTCTGTGGCCTCTCATCCTCTCCTCCCCTTTGGTGTTTTCCTGCCAGAGAGTCAGATGGAGGGTGGACAGTCACCCTTCGCTGGCACTGTGCACATCCCTAGTGGGGCTGGGGGGTCTGTCACTTCTGTGACAAGAACATGGGGAGGGGGAGGTGGAAGCCTTTGGTTTTTCCACCCTGCTTCTTACCCATCTTCTGAAGTCTGTATAGACAGAGGTCAGGCTGTAGGTGCCCAGGTTGGCACTCATGTCATCCACCTGGTGGTCTTCTCCCCTCAGAGGCCAGACCAGGAGTGTCTGCCATGGCTGGCTGGCTCTCAGCCTCTGGGAGTCTGGCCACTGAAATGGCCTGAGGCTCAGGAGAGGGGTGAGGCTTGAGCTTTGGGATCACGAACTGCCCTCAGGGGCTGTTGGGCTGCTGGGTTTCTTTGTGACAGTTCCAGGCTTCAGGCCAGTGTCCTGGTAAGGGTGCCTGGATAGGGTGAGGCAAGGCTCTGCACCAGTGCAGGGGCTACAGGACAGCAGGTTGGGTTTCCATCTCCTGTCTGGGGAGCTGCCTGCTGTCCTTCTGCCTCCCTCCCAGCAGGGTCTCCTCATCCTTCCCTGTAGTCCCAGCCTCCTTAGGAAAAGGAGGTCTGCACAGAGGAGCTTTTTTGTCTTTCTTTGTTTTCTATTTTCATTACTACACCTATTAAAATTAGTAACAATTCCTTAATATTTACTTAAGGCAAATCCACATTTTTGGAATTATGTAGGAAAAAGAAATCTTCTTAGGGCTGGGGGTATAGCTCAGGGGTAGAGTGCTTGCCTAGCAAGTGAGGCCCTGGGTTAAAATTTTTGTTTTTTACAATTGGGCTTGTTTTTTTGCTAATTTTTAAAATAATGCCGGGGATCAAAGCCAAGGCATTGTAATATTAGAGAAGTGCTATGCCACTGAGCTATACCCTGGCATGGGCTTATTTGAAATCAGCATCCAAACATAGGCTACATATCTGTTTTTATCATCTCTTAATCACTCAGTCTGTGGCATCACCTCCCCCTCACCCCTAACACCACTGAGCCCTCTTCTCAGGCCATTGACTCACTGAAGAAACTGGTTGCGTGTCTTGAGACTTTTCCAGGACAGTTCTGACGGTTGTTTCTTTATACAAGTAATTTTTCCTCTGTATACCATATTTTGTCTGCAGACTAAAATTTAGCAATAAAGACCTGATTAGGGGCTGAGGGTGTAGATCAGTGGTAGAGAGCTTGCCCGGCACACACAGGGCCTTGGGTCCCATCTCCAGTACTGAAAATAAAATAAGATAAAGTTCCATACAGTTTTCTCCCTTTCTCTCTCTTCCCCTCCCCTCCCCTTCCCTTTCTTTCTTTTCGCAGTACTGGGGATTGGAGCCAGGGCCTTTGCACTGAGCTATACTAAGGCAACTTTATGGCAAGGAGGCTGCATGGTAGGGCATGAGCTGTCACAGAGAGCTGTCAGATCTGGGCATAGAACAGTTTCCCATGCTGAGATCCAGTGACAGAAGGATGTAGGGAGCACTGCTGGGCCTCATAGCCCCTGTCTTCTTACCCCTCCAGTGGTCCATTCTGCATGCAGGGCATGTCTTCTCTCTTTTTCAGACCACTGTTTACCACTTCTTTTCAGAGCACTTCTTTTCTTCTTCATTTTAGAGTACTTCTTTCCTTCATTTCAAAACACTTCTCCCTACTTTTCATGCCTGTGATACCTTTAATGTCTCCAGGAAATGTTGAACTTTTATGTTTATCAGTTTTCCTGTCCAGTTCTTTGGAATAGCAAGAGCCTGGAGAGGACCGCTGGCCCCACACCATCTGACAATAGTATCCCCAGCCCTTTTAAAATTTTTAAATCTGGAGACAAGGTCTTACTAAGTTGCTAAGTTGCCCGGTCTGGGTTCAAACTTGTAATCCTCTTGACTCAGCCTCCTAGAGTGCTGGGAATACAAGTATATGCCACCACGCCCAGCTGTATACAGTTTCAGTGTAGCCAGTGGAAGGAAGGAAGGAAGGAGAAAAAGAGGGAAGAAAGGAAGGAGGGAAGGAGAAAGGGAGGGAAGAAAAGGAGAAAGGAAGGAAGGAGCCAGGGAGAGAGAGAAGGAGAGGGAAGAATTTGATTAGATTCAAATGCAGTTTTAAAGATTAAAAAGGGATGCTGTGGGACCGGGGATTTAGCTCAGTGATGCCGCTGCCTACCTCACAAGTGCAAGGTCCCAAGTTTGATCCCTGGTACCAAAAAAAAAAGGGATACTGTGTTTTCCTTATTCATGGTTGCAGGAGGCACAGATGCCTGATTATCTCACTTTAAATGATGCTAAGTTGATCACTGAGTTTAAGTGGTGACATTCTGATCCCTTCATTATAAAATTCTCTACTTCTTTTTTTTT